TTTGTCTTATTCATATGTATTGAAATTCAACTGGTTGGCTTAGCAGAAAGGATACTTCGATAAGCAAATCTTCCTAATTAATCTTGTGTTTATTATCAATGTGCTTTAGTTGATTGCTTGATGTTTTCACAGTGTAAAGAATAAGAAGGATTATGATAGGGAGCTGTCAGACATGTGTAAGTTGTTTACTCTTCAATCCTTTGTGAAGTTGATCCTTCAAGAAGGACAAAGTCTTATCCTTTTATGGTGGGCGACATATTATAACCAAGCTGTGTATGGGCTTGTGGATAAATTAGGTAATTATCTGGTCCAGAAATTTAGTCACGGTCACTTATCACAATAAGAGCTGATTTTGCTCTGAGACGACTTCGATAGAGAAACATGGCATTAATTTGGATTTACTTTCTTTTTTTTTTTATAAATTTATTGCATATCAGGGAGCCTGGTGGTCAGGATGGTGTTTCTTCCTTTTGAAGAAAGTTCCTACGCTACATTTGCAAGGTCTGCATCAGGTTTACTTTTCTCCTCTATTTCCTTTATGGTTTTGTTTTATTTTATTTTTTTATTTTTATATGCAGGATACAGTGTTGTCTTGAATTTGAGTTAGCCTCTTTCTGCGTTTTTGTTTTTAGCCATTCGAATTACAGATGATCTCCACATTCAGCTCACATTTCAAATTGGTTTTGTATCCATGGAGCTTCTCCATGGTTCCATTAAGAGTCCAAAACTATACTATCTTGAAGTCAGTTGCCATTGTGCTTGCTGCTTAAAATAAAATTATGTTGTACAGGGTTCAGTGCTTACAAACTTTAATTTTCTTCTAATTCAACAGGAAAAGACCCTGATAAAGACAGGCGGTTAGGAAGTAGCCTTACTGAGGCCCTCAAGTTGGTTTTGTTAATAGGTGCGATGTGTTTCCACTTCCTCTTTCGATCTGTTTTATTCAATTAATTATATTGTGAATAGGTATGTACATAGTCTTGATCCAGTAAGTAAATGAGTACATAAGTAGTTGAACTGTAATAGCATCTTAGTCCTATAGATCAGATATGAGTATATGTCATTTACAATGCACAGAGTCCAAGGGACTCAAACAACTTCGAAATATCTTTGGAAAAAAAGGAAAAATATGCAAAGTCAATATGTTGTAACAGACAAGATCAAGATATTGAGAACACTTACATTGGTCTTCGGTTTTATGGCCTAATGAGTAAATTAGAGGACCCCCTCTGCTTGGGATTTCCACGGCTGTGAGTTTAATTTCTCTGTAACCGTTTGATAATCCTGGTGATCAAGTGATTTTGTATTTTTTTAGGAAGGTTCTATTTTGACATATATTTTGAGGTTTATCATTTTATTGTATGTGTTTTATGGCGTTTGAGGTTCTGGTTTTCTCAGATTGCTTGGATATCCTGTAGGTCTTGTATTCATGGCGTTTGGCCCGAGTTATTCTTATTCTCTCATCAGATTGTTATACGGTCGGAACTGGAGTGATGGGGAAGCATCATCAGCCCTTCGATATTATTGCTTTTATATAATAGTTTTGGCGATGAATGGTGAGTGATGTTCTGGCTCTGCATGTCAATTTTCATAGGTGTATATATTATGGTCTTTCACTTGCAACGGTTTTACATAACAACCACCAAAACAAAGAAAGTAACAAATACATAAGTGGAAGATTGAGCTAATTCATTGGCCCACGCTTTTTATTTTTTTGGTTTCAAGGGACTTTCTGAATTCTTTATTCAGTTACCAATCATAGTAACAAATAAATAAGTGGAAGATTGAGCAAGTTCATTGGTTGTGAAATCCTCGAAGTCTACTTCTCTTTGAATGATGAATTCCCTTATTTTAAAGTAAATGAGTACCTAAGATTCATGAGTGATATACTTGTCTATTAAGATGTAGTAAGGCTGCTAGGTTCCAAGAAACTAAACGGTGGTAACTGGTAAAACAATAAATCATGCACATGTACACATCCATCGACAAATCGAATAAGGGTTTTCATTGGAGCTGGCACCCCTTTTAGATCATTGATATTTTTCTGATATTTGATTCGCTTTCTATGCAATCAGTCATAGGTGGCCTCGTGATAACTTAAAGATCTTATTGCTGTGCCTAAAAAGTATCAAGTGAGAACTTAGATTGTGCTTTGATTTTGCATCAGGAACTTCTGAAGCATTTCTACATGCCGTTGCAAAAGAGAAGCAACTCGTACAGTCAAATCTGTCGTCGTTTCTGTTCGCATTCATACATATAGTGCTGAATATCCTGCTGATAAACTCAGCTGGTGCAGTCGGCTTGATTTTGGCAAATTCATTAAGTATCCTTTTCTTGGTTTAGGCAGTTTTCTTAAGGTTCGTTGTGTTTATTTCGTGTTTTTTTAATTAAGGAAACTGGTTGTTTTTCTTTTACAAATAGCACCTGCAATATTTTTGTTAGAAGAGTAAGAACATAAGGTTGCTGCATGTGCTGTGTAGTGTGTATATACACAAGTATGTTCATATAACTTTTCGTCAACAATAAATGTTATGTAAGCGCAATAGAGATGCCATCATCAGTTTGAAATAAGGTTGATCAGAGAGTAACTACCATAATGTGTTACGGCATTTAAGTTTATCAGTTCTAGTCTCTACTTTCTTGACATGGTAAAGATATGATCTGAGAATTATCTACTCGGGGATATTCATCAAGCATCATTTCCAGGTACACTGTTATTTATTTTGATCTTGCAAGTTTCATCGATGTTTTTATCCTTGTAAGTACTGATTTTTTCTCTCTCCACAGGATTCTTCCACGTTTTCCTTTTACAGATGTTTACCTTCAGGATGGAAGGTACTCTTGTTTTCGGGAATAACAACTACTATTTCTGAGAGAATATTTCTGGACCGGGAGAATTTCTGGCCGACCTTTTTGGTTCATTTTTCCATTGGTGTTGCTTGCTTCTGCATGTCGTCGTTTGTTATGTATGTTCTTGTGCCCTGTGTTCACACTGAAATTTTCGTTTCATGATGTCCTAGTTACTTCGCGCACGAGGATATTAATCATGTGTTTTGTTTCTATATTCCTCAACAGATACCGCCGTGAGAGATCGTTCATCAACAAAATCATCCGCTTCCGTGATCACACAGACTAAACAACAGACTTTTCTTTGATCCGCCTACGGACACAGTGTAGTCTTTAGCAGCTAACTGATCTACAACTCTTACAAGTGTATCTGGGTATCTGAATTCTGGATTACGGTGCAGCAAAAACAACAGGATGTGGAAGTTGCAGCCATATATTACGAAGAAAAACAGGTTCTGGATTATAGACAAGTCACCATTGGAGCCCATTTAGTAGGAATTTTCGGAAAAATATAAACCGAAAAGATTTAATTTAGTTCGTATGTTAGAATTTCAAAGCATAGAGATGTAGTTTATCAGTTAAATTCGGTTTTCTTGAGAACTAGGGTTACTGCAATTGCTCTTTCATATGGTGATTGTTTTGACTTTTATCCATGATCAAGTTCAAATATTATGACAATCAGCATAATAGGTTGGCTAAACTATGATTCGGTCCATGTCGTTTGGGCGAAGTTATTTCTAGCTCATGTAGTTTCAATTGTCGCAATTTAAGTCACTGGCGGAATTAAGCTAATGTCCTTGAATTGCGGAAACTATGAGAACTAAAGCGAAACTTCTACGCAAACTATGGAGATCAAAATCATGATCGTTTAATAAAATAATTGAATGACACATTAAGACTAGAACTTGGCCAAATAATCTTCGTTAATCAGTCTAAACATACCTACTTAAAAAATATGAAATTGATTTTTTTTTCTTTAAAAATGAATTATTGGATGGTATTATTGCATATAATTTTGCTTGTTTTGTCATAATTTGTATGGAATAACATGTATAGGTACAATATTAAAATATCAGAAATTTGGAAACTCATTTGCCTTACGCAACAGAAATGTCATAGAATTGATACAATCTGGATCCCGGTCAGATTCTCTTGGTGAGGATTCTGAAAATTCGTGAATCGTGTCTGTTTATTATATATTGTGTGGTCAAAAATTATTTTAAATATTTTTATTTCAAAATTAAACACAAGTAGTATCTCACAAAAACTGATCGCACAATGTATGATAAATAAACACGATTTACGAATCTTCATATCTTCGCCAGAGAATCCTGTTGGGAATTGATAGGACCCTATATAAAAAAAAAAAAAAAAATTGAAATGTCAAAATAGAATGTGGGTTTGAATTGTTACACGTGGCCATCTCAAGGTTTCATGTTTTCATGGCTGAGAGTCTTGAGACTAAAGTGTCCATTTATTGCCAACTTCCGGATTGAATCTTCTACGTCCAAAAGTTAATTTAACGTGTTAATTTTTCAACTTATTTTTTAATTATAAAATTGAAAATAAATTAAGTTAATATCACTCAACTAAAGTAATTCATAAAAGACAAGAGTTTGAGTACAGAAGATTTAAACTCTAACCAATAGTTAAGAGGTGTGAAAATAATAATAGAGTTAGTTTAGGCGAGCAACTTGAAAAATATAATTGCCTATTCTAGGAAGACTTTTGCCTCGGGTTACTCTTGTAAGGGCTCGCAGTTGTTGTCATGGTAAAAAAAATACCGACTCCATTTTTCTACATTTTCAAAGGTAGAGAATTAGTATATAATTTATTCGAAGCTGTCATCGATATGAAAATGAAGAATAATTATTTTCAGATGGGTAGCGGCCGATTTATCTCATGACTCATTTTTAGGTTAAAAAAAAAATTAAGAAATCAAACATTTAGGTAATTGAATTAGATCCAAAGTTTAATTTTTTTTTTTACTTCCCAAGAGAAAGAAAGTTACTGTGTAGTGACAGCGGTCGTGGCGACGGTAAAAAGTAAAAAAAATCAGTTCAAGTACAAATGAAAATCCACCGACGCTCGGACCTGGACTGAAAGAGATTTCAGAGAGAGAGAGAGAGAGCGTCTGGTTGGGAATCGCGATCGTCCCACCTGCCAGCCTGAGACCTAAAGAGGGAGAGTCACCTCCGACGACCAGAAGAAGGAGAAGAAGACGATCGGACGGCTGAGAGGCGCTATGGAAATGATGTCATCATCGGGCGGTGGAAGGTACATGGCTTACTCGCGTTCACCGTCGGCACCTCACTCCCCTCACCTCTCCGGCCTTCGCTCCGCCGCTCTCGTCGCCGCCGAGCAAGAAAAGTATGCCGCTTTAGATCTGTTCACGGTTTCTCGATTCCTCTTCAATATGAAACCGTAATTTGATTTCTTGATTTTGTATGAACCCTCATCGATATCGGTTTGTTGATGTATATATGTATATATGTATATATATGTTGCAGATATCTATTGGAGCTGCTTGGGGAGCGTCACAAGCTGAGTCCATTTTTGCTAGTTCTGCCGAATTGCAACCGGTTACTAAACCAAGGTCAGTTTTGATCTTTGAATTGAGCTTGCCTTTGTTTATGAGAACTGATTTTATTGGTATATATGCATGTATAAATGTGGAGACTCTGCGATCAGTAACTGATCAACCCGAATCACAATTCATTTCACTCGATTTGAGTAACTTTGCAGGTTGTTGAGGTACATACCCTATTAATCTAACATGATTAAGCTAAGTAAGCATTTGCGAAACACTTGATAACCCACTTTGTAATTAGTTTAACTTGGTGCTACGCACTAGGGTCGTAGAGATGTTAATGGTCCCGCTAATCCAATTTGTTGAAGTTGGTTTTGCACTAATCGTCTCCTGATATCATTTAGCTCGAGCTGATGTTGTATTGCATGGCTGGGATAGAGTTATTGAAGACATCACTTGCTTGATTAGTTTGGAATGCCAATTCCATCTCAAAATTTATTACTACTGAAAAGTATTGAGGTGGTGCACATATCACCATTCAACTGCTTTGCATATGAAGCAAAAACAATTCGATTACAATGATAATCGATTAGAAATTCTTTTCATTGCATTGTATCTCTTTTAGCTCCTAGGTTCTTTACATACCACAGAGGTAGGATATAGGTTGCCTTATTTAGTCTGACTTCATGTTCTACTTTTTGTTTTCGGCATCTCTTGCAAACCTCGTCTTTTAGTTCAAGATTGAGGAAAGTCTCATTTTTTAGACCCGAAAAGGAGGACAAACCAATATCTTGTCTTTACCAGTGGGAACATGCCGACATAACAGGTTTTGGGTGTTTTTACATTAATTAGAGGATAACAATAAATAAACCTGGTCCTCCTACGTAAAGTGATACATACAATGTTCCATGGTATTTGGATATTTATGGTGGGGCCTTCCTTTTCAGATGCCTAAAGACTACAAGACCACCTGTCCAAACCAAAAGGTATGAGCCTTTTTAAAGTATAGATTTTTGACCCGTAGTTTATCTTGGGATTCCATTACTAGCAAATTTAGATACCAAGTTCCTAGCTGAGGACATAGCTTGATCCATAAGCCTTCGCTTTGCTTTTGGGAGTACTTCTTTCTAGGTAATTATACTTTTTTTTTTTTGTCTCTTGCAGAGGAGTCCAAGTTTCTGCTTATTGTTGTTAGATTGGTAATATTTACATTGATTTCTCAGGTTTAAGTGGTTTGATGACCTCGTCTCAGCCAAGTGGTGGTGTTTGGTGGACGTGTATTCTTTTCTGGTGTTTCGTGCCTCTAGTTACTTGGGTTCTCATGTATTAGTTTCTGGCTTCTGTAGTTTGTATTAATTAAGCTTTAAGGATTCGTGATAGTGTTCATAACTATCTTACGAATAATAGGCTTCTTTTCTTTATTAACTTTTCATTACTTTAATGGTAGTTTACATCTTTTAATAATTTTATTACTTTGGGGAAGCATTGATTTAACTGACTCAGGAAAAAATCTTTGTTGTCTCTCCATTTTGTGGTGACCACTAACCTTATAACCAATGCTAACTGGTACATCTTATTCTTGAAAATTGACATTTTTGGAGCAGAAATATTGCGTGTAACTACACTGTTGGGGAATGCGTCAGTTTTAGGTCAAAGTGGGCTTGAACATGCTAGCCCCCTGGCATCTAGAGGAATGTTCTCAAATGGAGGTGCTGATGTGAACGGATGGGCATCACGTTTTCAATCAGAAGTACGGATACTAACCATTAACTTATTAACTTAACATAACATTGTTTTCTGTCTAATTTTACTTTTACTAGAAGCATTGCTGACACGATCCTTTACATCTCATGCTAACCTTTAAGATTTGTTTAGGTGCTGCAATTTATATTGCCACTTTTGAGACAGGTAGTCTGAAGCTAACATCAACAAGCAATACTAATTAGCTTTGCTTCGGGAATCCTACTTCAATTAAGATGGTTCTCTCTTCATTCTGTCTGTCTTTGTCAAGACGACTTAATTTGATTTTATAACATATTATCAAATTTTACATTTGGCATAAAGATGCATTCATACTACAAATGCAGAGTACTGAAAGGCGTTTATAACTTTATACAATCTCTAGGAGATGTCCAAATTTTCTTGTTTTGAGTACTGACCCTTTGGTTATGCTTGTTAATTGACTTTGCCATATCAGGCAAGTTTTTGGTCGTTGTTGATATGGTTTTGAAATATTTCAGCTACCACATGCCTTTCTTTGCTGGGTGATTGTAGAATGATATTATTTTTGTTGTATTAATTTTACTTTTAGTCCTTGAAATGCATTGTTATCTACATTCACAGTTGGGCAATGTTCTGTTTCAATTGTATATTCTAAGGTTTACAATCTTTTTCTACTTAGTTGTTTTTCTACTTAATTATTCATCACATTGTTCAAAGCATGCGTTATGAATTTGTTTGGATCTTGAAGGTTCTTCAAAGACCAATACCTTATGGTTCTCATATGTGTAGAGTAGAATACATATGATCATGAAAAACAATAAAATGTTGTTTTAACGTTTGTGGATTATACTATTCAGATGTCAGGTTTATTACAGCCTTCATCAACCCAAAACTGGCTGAGTCCTCAAAGTAGCTCATCTGGTCTAATTGTGAAGCGAACAATCCGGGTGGATATTCCAGTTGACAAATATCCTAATGTATGGTTGAAGTACTCAATTCTGTTAATTTATCTGGGTACTTTTCTATGTTTGTCTGACATGAAATCCTTGTTGCAGTATAACTTTGTTGGGCGGTTGCTAGGCCCTAGAGGGAACTCTCTTAAGCGGGTGGAAGCAACTACTGAATGTCGTGTTCTGATCAGGGGACGTGGTAGCATAAAGGATCCGACTAAGGTAATAATGAGTTTATTTTTAACATGCAAATGCATCTATGCTTATTTCTGTAATTGATCTGGCATTCATGGATTCAAAGGAATTCTGAACGAGTATTTTTTACATTGTTCTGTAAATAAATTCAGTTTCCATTACTTTTGGTTCACATTGTGTGAATCTAATGTTAGTCCACTCTCCACTGTCATATTTTTGTTCTAAAGGAAGAAATGATGAGAGGAAAACCAGGGTATGAACATCTGAACGAACCTCTTCATATTCTAGTGGAGGCAGAACTACCAGTTGAAATTATTGATACTCGTTTATTGCAAGCACGTGAGGTACTAGAAGATTTGCTCAGGCCTGTGGTATGTTTTCTCCTCTCTGATTAGAAGTTTTTCCGATCACCTCTCTTGTAAAGTTTGTCTTCAATACAATCTCTTAACTGTTTCTTGGAATGATATCTGTATTTTTTCAGGACGAATCTCGGGATTTTTACAAGAAACAGCAACTGCGAGAGCTGGCAATTCTCAATGGCACACTTCGTGAGGAGGGTTCTCCAATGTCCGGTTCAGTGTCACCCTTCCACAACAGTCTTGGTATGAAGAGGGCCAAGACCAGGGGGTGATAGATCCACTATTGGAGGGCTCTTGGAGCTTGTTTTGTTAGTTTCTGCCAGTAAACAGAGGTTTCCACGCCACGTGTTGCTGTGTCAGCCAATCCTCCCACTGCCATCGGGGCACTGGCAACACCCCTTGTGTGCCAGTTATACTTGTTTCTATATCAAGTGTGTGTACCTACTGGTCAGGGGCAAGGGTTGGCATATCGCATAGGAAAGGACAGTTTGATTTCGACGGGTTTGCTTTTTATATGTTGCATTGGAAGTTTGGTGGGAGCATTAGCTCTCTAAGCCTGTCCTTATACTATTATAAGCATGTGATGACAGTTTTGCTACCGTCTCTGCGTTTCTGTGAGCAAGTTATGGTATGGTATGGTGTGTATATGAATAGCGATTAGCGAGGCGAAAATTCGAGTAATGTTGTACCGTCCAGATTGCATTTGGATTTATTTAAAGCGTTCTTCGTTTTGTTTTGTGAAAAAGTAGTTTCTCGTATATTTGACGCTTCCTGCACCAATAGCTCTGAGGTCTGAACGTTTCTTGGTTTTTTGGCTACGATTTACAGCAGAGAATTGTGGAATGCTTTGTGGCACCTTCACCACTGTTTTGCAAAAGCTCAACAATTGCATTTGGCCACAAAAACTGAGTTATATTAGCCTACGGCTTTTGATTGATTTTGTTCACCTTCAACCATTTGAACCGACCGCAAAAATTCAATTCAATCCGACATTATTTGCTCTTTTAATTGTCGTGAAAGAATTAAAATGTTTATTAGAACACAGTATTCGTCAATTTTTTAGAACTCTATTAAATGACTCGTATATTTCCGATTTGGTTAATATTTTGTAAGAATAATTTATAATGTACAACTTGAAAAATACACAGTTCAAATTGAATTTCGATGTAATGTGGGCTTCACCACTAATAAAACATGAGACCCCTTCCTCCAAAAACTGCCCTGAGGAGAAAGGAAAAAACCTTACTGTCTAGCAATTTCAAAAGGTTTAAGTCGTCTAGAAACGTCAAATGGTTGACAACTTTGATAGATTTTATTGCAGTTCGAAGTCGATGAACGTACAAATTCACCGTGATCTTCTTATAACACACAAGTAGGCACTATCAAGTGAAATATTTACATGGTGATCTCAACGAAGGACTCGTTGTAACATTTTACAAGCTCTATCGTTCGGAAGTGCTTTTAAAAAGGCAGAAAGCGCTTCTAGCAAAAATGTTTTTGAAACCAATCCTTAATGAAAATACAAGTGAATCCTGAAAAAGCACTTAAAGTACTTCCTGCTAGAAGCACCAGTTATTATAAATTATCGAACCTTCTATTCCTCCAGTTCAGTCTTCATCCTCGTCCTCAAGATCGTCAATGCCGATCCATCGAGTAAACGCAAATAGAAACTCCTTGAAGTTCACCATTCCGTTTTTATCCCAGTCCATTTCTTCTGCAACAATAGAAGTAACAAGATTATTAGAAAGGGATTTTTTCTACCGTCTTAATTCAGACCATTTAGCTAAATGAACTAATTCATAAGAATCCACCATCGTAGACACGAACAAACCGAATTACTAGCTTCCGTTTTCACTAAGTCACAAGTTTTACTTGGTAATACGTCCACGCAAGTGCATACAGATGGACACAAACGATCTGTATGCATACAGAATTACAGATGGACACAAATTATCTGTATGCATACAGATGGACACAAATGATCTGTATGTATGCCGTAATGTGTATGCTTGCAATGGTGTGTTTGTGTATAATGTGTGTGGAGAGAGAGAGAGAGAGAGAGAGAGAGGCTGACCAAATCTTTTCATGGCTATTCGCCCGGAGGAACGTTCCCCTGTAGTAGTTTCGTTAATGGCCTCGACCATCTCGCTCTTGCTGACATAACCATCCTTGTTCTTATCCAAGAACACAAATCCATCTACCAATGTTTCAAATGTGGCCTCCATTTCCGGCATTCCCAAGTTGCAATTTCTACCAAAAGTCATGGAACACAGAGAACGAGAAAAAGAACACAAAAAAAAAAACAAAAGGAAGCTTAAAGAAAATACAGATAACCAAGTATGCGTGTTTGGATACAGTGTGAACAGCTTTGTTATCATCCTTGAGAAGATGAACGAGGCAAATAAGAACGATGAACTCGTTGAACTTGATTCCCATATCCTCGTTAATATCACATGCCTCAAAGAGATCATCGATCTCCTCGTCTGTAAATGAGACTTCCAGTTTATAGAAACACTTTTTCATCTCTTCCTGATCGATCATGCCATTCGAATCCTCATCTGTCGAGAAGAAAAAAGTGCACAAGTTACTGATTAAACAGACATGAAAAAGTACAAATTTAGAACAGAATTGAACAAGAACTCAATACGATACATACCAAATTGCTCGAAAATAGCCTTGCAATTTCTTAAGCTCTCGTCAATCTTCGGAAACTTCAAGATGAGGCTGTTAAATGATTTCATAATACTTCCTTTAGCTGCTCTGCGCTGCATAGCTTCAACCATTTTGGCCTCTAGCTTCGTTTCATGTATCGAAAACCTTCTAGCATTTTCGCTCTTTCCCACTACGGCCCCCATTGTCAATTAGTAAGACAAATCGGGATCCAGGAGTGGATGTAACTAATGTTCCTGGCCAGTTAAGTAAATAAAGACTTCAGTTGATATTCAAACAAGAGCGATGGAGCGAACTATGAAGCAATATATAAACAATTCGATCAAACAAACGAAATAAACAGATAAGCAACCGAGCGAAGGTCACAAACTTAGAAAAAGCGATAGTGCCAAAAGCGAGATAGTGCCTTGGCTGAGGGAAACTACAAAGCGATATATGAAACTACGCCCCAAATCACGAATCGCCTATCTAACTGTCATGACTTTAGTGCCAATCTACGATTTCCAGTCAGTATCTAAACGTAATTCCAATTACCTCCTACTTAAAGATTCAACAAAGATAAATGGATGTTCTTCTTTACTCCTTTTTTTGTGAGAAAACCCTATCAACGTTTTAGAGAGACGGACCATCGGTTCACTACTAATCAATACTGGTATGTTACCGGCACAACAGATGTAGGGTTTTATCACAAAATGCATCAATGCTGTGGCGGATCATTCCTTATATATTATCGTTTATTTTGTCAAATTTTTTATGTGAGATTTTACGCAAAGTCCTCCATATGAAAGCAGAACAGATATCTGGCCAAGAAATAAATAACATCAAAATACAACTACTGGATTGAAATTGTTGATTTATATCACAACTTTTCATTAAGATTGTAAATTGGCAATAATCACATGCTTAGTTCATCAATCAGAAAATTTAAATTTAATCAATAAACTATCAAACAGATAAAAGAACGGCGACCTCAAGCTAATAAGGCTCTTTCTTTCTGAGGATTGGGGCATCGTACGCAATACAACGTCTATTGTAACAGCCTTACTTTTATTAAAAACAGATAAAAGAACAACAGATATAAATAAAAAGACAATAACTTTAGGGGACATACCAGAAAAATCCCAGGCTGCTTTGACTGAAACAAAAAGCTTGAAACTTTGACAATATCGGAAGCTGCAAGACGGGCAAATCAAGAAGAACCACCGAGAAATTGAGCACAAACCAAATAAGCAGAAAACAGCACTTAACAAATAAGCAGAAAGAGAATCAGAATGAAGGTAAGAGGGTAAGTTCTTCTGATCAAAGTTTTGGTTTGTTAGCGAGATGGGGTTGGCTTTTGGCTTCAGGCTTCTGAACCAACATTTGTGGTCTACCCAACACGTATTCTTGTCCTTCATCCATCCATCCCAAAATCGCTGACTTTTCACATGCTTGCAACATAAAAACACTGAAATAATTAAAAGCCATTTTAATATACCATTATTCTATGAAGATTATTGCTAATTTATAGTTTACAAAAATGATTATTTATGAATTTGGAAATCTGAGGTGGGCTGACTTTACAATTTCTAATGTGAGCTGCCATGCATTTATTGTTGCATTGTTAGTCATTCACATTTCACATGAAGGGTTAACGGTAACGTCGGAAAGTTTCAACTAAATATTTCTAGTACTGTTTATTTTCAACGAAAATTTATATATATATATTTTTTTTGATACTATTCACTACACTTTTATTTGTCATTTTTCATTAAAACCAAAGTTTTTTGAACTTTTCGTTAGTTTTTTTTTTTTCTTCAAAGGAATTAGTTGGTCGTTCCGTAAAAACAATCTACCAGTTGAGAAAACACACGGCCAATTAATTTATTACTCATTCACAATTAATTAGTGGTGTAATCTATCATTCACAATTAGTTAGTGGTGTAATCTATGCGTACGTTTGAATGTATTTTTTTATATTTATATATGCAATATTGAGGGTGAATTGAGTGAAGCACGGAACTTCAAATGCATAAATACTTTCAATCGATTAAGCTACACATTTTTTACGGAACCCTTTTTAATATTAATTACATTTCATGATTAAATTTGTCATATCCTGTCATTTTAAATTTTGTAGAGCCATAAATGTAAGTGAAAGCAACTTCCAATCGTGCTTTGGGGATATTCCTATGCCACTAAAGCTCCCTCATTTCTGATGTCCAAGTCCAACCGTATCCCATCATCATATTTGAGACTTAAATCTCTCTTTGCGCTTTGTATTTTATTAGTATTCTTTTTCACTTGTAAGTAATAAGTTTTAGGTTCGATCTTCACCAAATATGAATTTAAACCATATTATTGCTAACTCATTATGACGCTTAACCCACTCATCCACGTCCTTAGTGTAGATAATATTGTTTGTTAAAAAAAAAAATCTCTCTTGCTTTCTTTGCAAAGAAGATGGTATTAATAATAGGTAATTGCAAAGGACTTCTTCATCTTTTCTTCACTCTTCTTCATTTATCATTTTTCTCATGTATTTCTGAGCGGAAATTACACTATCAACTAGCCTAGATACTCTATATCTTTAACACAAAACTAAAAGTTGGTTAATAGTTTTCCTTCTTGCACTCAAGGTCTTGTGTTCAAATCCCACTCCCCGTGATTTAATGTAGATATCCTATCATTTATATAAATAAAAAAAAAAACGAAACAGCTACCAAACAGAAGGAATTTATACTAAAATACGTAGAAAATAGCACACTTGTACCACTCAACGTAGCTATTTCCACTTTTACGATCGATAATCTCATTAAACATCTAAATTATTTTACATTCTTGTAATCTCTTATTATGCCCACTCCTATCGATATTTTAGTCATTGAATTGAATAAATTAAATAAAAATGAAAAATGTGCGCATATGGTTAAAAAAACATGTGTTGAAATAGTTTTTCTTTTCGTTTTTGAATAATTTAATGTAGGGTTTTTATATAAATTAAAAATAAGAGAAATGTTAATAATATATAACATTATGTCAAAAACATGAAGTAAGGCGTTTTATAAACTCTCTGCCACATAACAATTTAACGTTAATTTATACATCAATATATAACATTATGCTAAAAACACGAGATCACACATAATCTATAAAGTGTCTCATTTTTTCGAGATTCCTCTTATCACTCAATAATAAATAACCCTAAATAATAGTCCAACAAAAAGATGATAATAAATAAAAAGTAAGGTAGGGGACAAGTAAGAATATGCCGCATAGGGAGTTTACGTGGCGGGAAGAAACACGGCCACAACCAAATCCGAGTTCAAATGGAAACGCCCACACTCTATAATCTCCCTACTGTATATAATGCGGAAACCCCCCAACCAAGGTCACTCTGCGTCTCTCACTCGCTGTACGGCTCCTGCTCGGAGAGTTTCTCTCGCTCTTCTTTCTCTCTCTAGAAGCAGAAGCTCCCCGAACCCAACCAGAAAACCCTAGCCAAATCGCCGGTGAGCCTATCGCCTCTTCGATTTATCGAATTTTTATGCTTTTTTTTTTTTCTTTAATTGTTTCGGATTGTTGATTTGTCGAACGATTGTATGCGAAATTTCATAATTTTTGGGTTCTTAGTGATCGTTTTGGTTGTTGTGTTTGTTTTGAATTTTGTTTAAATTTCCTTTTGGAACGGTGATTTTGTTTTCCTTTTCATGCAATGAAATGATCGAAGTATATAGGTTGAACGATTTGGCTTTTTCGATTTCGAAATGCTCTGTTTTTCACGTTGTAGAATTCTGAACCCTAGGGTTTGTTGGTTGATGATAGTACCGGGATAAATTTAGATTTCGATGTGAAATTGTGAGTTGATTTAATTTTATGATCATCCTTTTAGTCTTTTTCCTATCAATTTAGGCACCTGATTCGATTTAGGAGAAAGAGGCACTTGGAATGCTAAATTTGTATGTATCAGGTGGTTGGTAGTGTGAGTGTTGATGGTACAGGCGAATGGATTTCGTGATCCTTTCACTTTTTATCGGTGTATCGATGTTGGCACAGTATCTCACGTTTGTTCAATGCCTTCGGTTTTGGTTGTGCAACACTGCAATTCAATCAGATGTATCTTATATGGAGTATTTGTTTTGACCGTTATTGTGTTTAACCTTGCAGCACATTGTTGTAGTGTTTTGTGATGGCTTCAAAGAGGATCAACAAGGAGTTGAAGGATCTCCAGAAAGATCCGCCTGCTTCTTGCAGTGCAGGTATTTTTTCTATTCTCTCATATACTTTTCATGTTTCATTTGCTATGTACATGTTCTGGTCAATTGGTATTTTGTCTGTGTGAACTTCAGTTGCTATTTGTAAGTATTCATCTTTTCCTAGATATCATTATTTTTCTTCTTGTTTTTTATTCATCAAGGTTATATGAAAAGATTGTTCTCATTGATTATTCACATGGAGTTGAGCTTATTTACAATCAAAGAATGATATTAGAGACTCCACATTTGAAATGAATATGTGATGAGATTCATTTATCTATAAATATGAAAAGGTTGTTTTTGTGCATTGATTGGTATCTTGGGCATCTGGTTAAAGTGGACTTTTTTAAACTTGCTTGCTCGCTCTCGCTTTAGATAAGTGTGTTGTAGTATCCAATGCATTGTCTTCATCATTTTGTTTAAATGCAAATTCCCCCATAGTATTTCCTAGGACTGAGTGTATGATTATTTTAATTAGAGATGCCATCATGCCAGTGTTACCTTGTATTCTTTCGGTTTGGTAGATGTATTGGTTATTTTTGGATGTTGCATGTAACTACTTTAACCATGTTTTGGGAAAAAACCAGGTTCCAATGCAGAAGAGAGGACGCATTGAGGTTTCACTATTGATGTTTACAAAGTATTACTGTTTTAAGTATGTTTTGTAACTAAATTTTTCTTTTTCAACAGGTCCTGTTGCTGATGATATGTTCCACTGGCAAGCAACAATTATGGGTCCTGCAGAAAGCCCATTTTCAGGTGGTGTTTTTCTTGTGTCCATTCACTTCCCGCCTGATTATCCTTTCAAGCCACCCAAGGTATATCTTCCGTGAAAATTTAATTCACGGGTTCCCTTCTTATACAATACAAACTAGAGAAGCAAAAAATTCGCATCTGTATTATGTTTTTTTATTTCAGTGCAATTGGATCGAAGTATTGTTTTGTTTTTATTTGGGGATAATAACGCTCATAGCATGCTCACTATTTGTGCATTGGACAGGTTGCTTTCCGAACAAAAGTTTACCATCCGAACATCAATAGCAATGGTAGTATCTGCCTTGACATCCTCAAGGAGCAGTGGAGTCCTGCCCTGACCATTTCCAAGGTAACAAACTTGTCTTGTGCCAATTATATTTTCCTTATTTTCTATGTCATTGTATATTGATGCTCATCTACATAGAAACTGATTGTTTCTTTGTGCAGGTCCTCCTCTCCATTTGCTCCCTGCTGACAGATCCAAACCCCGATGATCCTCTGGTGCCTGAGATTGCGCACATGTACAAGACTGATCGACAGAAGTACGAGACAACTGCTCGATCCTGGACCCAGAAGTATGCCATGGGCTAGGGCCTTCTTCCTGTCTTTGGGAAATCAATCTAGTATGCTTGAATGTTATGGTAATAGTAAATAAATAGATGCAAGAAGTGGAACCGGGATTTAAGATGCTTGTTCTTGGTTTGTCTGCGTGTCGTGTCGTTGGTTCTGGAGGAGGTTTACGTAGTTTTGCCTTCTTTAAACTGAGATAATGCTATTTGCAATAGGTGGTGGTATAGTAATTCAAAGTATGGTGGAAAATCTATCGTTATTTCGAGTACTTGCAATTTTTGTGCGTTTGCTTGTTTGCATTGTTTTACTTTGTTGCTCTGATGTTAGATTAGAAAATCTCAATCCCTAAATGCAATGCTTGTCTCAGAATCGGATTAAAATCTGATGCAATTCTGAGATTAGGTCGAGGAAAGTAGCGGTCTATGTTTGCTGATTGAATTTCAATTTGATGTCAGATACCAAGATTGTGAAGAGAAGGTATCTACGTTTGTTTGGGATTGCTTCTCGAAAGGCTAAAAGATTTTCGATTATCTTTTTTGTTTCTACGCCCCCCATGTGTGTTGATGAAAATCTCATTTCTCCAAATATGCGACCTTTGCTCTTTGCTATCGTATTGTCTCGAGCTGCTCATTTTGTTAAGTTGGTCTGTAAAATCGTTAGCTTGGCTGTTGTGGAACTAGAGCCACAACAAAGAAAAATGTTACGTTTGTACCTATACATTCTGATGTTATTCGAGTTAAACGATTTTCCAGACCAACATAATGGAATCGGGTGACGGGCATAGAATGAAAGCGTCTTTGATGGCGTCCGGCCAAAAAAAAAAAAAGAGTGCTTATGAGTTGTACGTACCTTTTAGTGCCGTTTTGGACAAGC